GTTTCACATTCAGCTTGTAGCCTTTCTCACACTGTTTGTGCTACAAGTATGAACAATATCTTAAATTATGTGGCTAAATGAGCAAAGGTAGGCTTTGCTTTTCTAACTGATTTTAGTGTTTAAAATATTTTTACTTACTTGATTATGTACCAGTGAAAAAACACCATAGATGGAAAGGCAACAGTGAAACTTGTATGCAGGGTTGCCAGGTCTACTTAAAACAATGCAGCCCAATTGGTACTCAGAACTAGCCCAATCGCTTTTGGGGGGAAAATGGCTCCAATTGCTCCAAATTCGTGTTCCAGGGGGGTCAGAACCTCCTTCCAGAGCGTTCCACCTCAGACAAAATCGCATTCAGGTGGCGGGGGGTTTCACTTCAACCCACGGACTAAAGCAGCATTATAAAAGTAGCCCAGTTCCGTGGGAAAACCGTGGGTTTGGCAACACAGCATGTATGACATTCTTCCCTGGAACAAAACATTTTAAACTAATAAAAAAATGTAAAAAATCATTTTTTTTAAAATTTTTTTTACAATGAAAGTCAATATACCAAATTTTTATCCCAACATTGCTAATAGTGTCTGGTCTTGCAGCTAGGCCAGACACTTCTTCTTGCCCGCACCTCATTGTCTCGTCCCATCAGCTGTAGTTCCCTGTTCCCATCCCTCTGTGATGTCTTTAAGTGTTTGGGGTTCCAAACAGGACCTTCGGAATCCAGAGGCCCTGTCCTTGGCTCTCGCACTCAATGTTCCTGACAACTACACAAGGTGCTCCTGCCAATTGAATGAACGGTGTTCAATAATACATCAGGGCCAGGTGCTGGTACCCTGTACCAAAGCACACAGTACACCCCTCCACCCAGATCACATGGGCCTCCCTGCCATGAAATTTTTATAAGCACACTCCTGGGAATCCAGTGTGATCCAGATCGTCTCGTGCTTCCCTCATATTTAAGCAGATGGCAGCTGCTAGATGTTTTCTTCAAGCCCAGCGGTCGAACCCCTTTGGTGTTCCTAAACCCTTGTTTATGGTAAGACAGGTAGTGAGCTAAATGACTAGCAAATTACAAAGTGAACAGTTGACTTGACTAAATTGGTCATGAGTAAGTCAGTCAGAGACAGCAACTGTGGTTTTTACTTCTTCAGAACCAGTGTTGGGCAGTAACTAGTTACTGTAATAATATTACTTTTTGCAGTAATCTAGTAGTAGATTTCAGTTAGGGCTACACAATTAATCGAATTTCTAATCGCAGTTACAATTATGGATGCCACAATTACGTAATCGTTCAAAGCGGCAATTAATCGTTCAAAGTCCACTTATGTTATTCTGCGTGCTTAAGATGCGTTTTTTTTCTTTCTACATGTTATCTTAAGGGTTTTCCCCTTTTTTAGTTCCCCTAATTTTAGTTTTGGTATAACATTATAATACAATTCATATTTTTACTTTTTTATAATTTAAAGAAGAAACCAATCCGATGTATAGTTGACATTTGAGGCTTAATACTATAGAAAAGCACTAAAGGTTTTTCAGTTAGAGTGTTTTCAGCTTGTTTATTTTCATATAAAAATACGGCATGCAGTTGCATTAAACAATGGTATAAACATCATTCAGTGTAAATTGTGATAATCGTAATTAATAATCGCAGTTACAATTTCAAGGGAATAATCGACAATTAGGATTTTTGTCATAATCTTGCAGCCCTAATTTCAGTAGTAATATTACAGTTACCATCCATAAAACAGCTACTTAGTTACTTTTGATGCCTCACCCCCTACTGATTTGAAATCCAACAATCCAATAATTGATAATCGAAACTTCCTTGATATTTGTGTTTTAAAATGTTTTTAAATGACATTTACACCCAATTTTCTATATTAAAAAAAAATATATATTTTTTTTATTTGGGCTAGTTAAATTTACTTCGGGCTACCAAAATCTGAAGAGTGCCTGGCCGAAGGGCTACCAGGGATTTTGAAATTTTTAGAGGCATGTTAAATATTTTGAGGTACTGTGTTATTAACGGACAGTATGCTTTCTGGCACTTTAAGTTCAACTGAGACACATTATATATAACATTTCGATTAAATGCAATTCTACGTAGAAAAAGCCATGGTAGAATAATGTTTAATATGTTTAATTTCATATTATTGTGTACCTTGTTTATATTGCAAATAGGTTTTTCTGAAAATTTCTGGTGGAAAAAAAGATTGTGAGATTGTGACTATTGAACAGACTGTACATCTGAATGGACTATACTCTTAACAGCCTCATTTTCATTCATGTAAAATTAAATATGGCATTTTTCCTGACTAAGCTCTTTAACAAAGCTTGAATGAGTGTCATGGGTGCAGTTCAAATGCAAGGCTTTGAAATGTATAGTGATATTCACTGAAATGGCTTTTGCTAAATAAATAATTATGCCATGATTCCAAAAACAAGCAAATAAAGGTGTCGTATAGCGAATCCATATGAATCAAGCAGCTTAATACAAGTCTTGTGAAAAGATGTGATAGCTTTAGATGGTGAAAAGATTTAATTTAGGCTCTTATTTACATCTAAACGTTGAAAGGTTGACAGGAGGGTGAGTAAACAATTACAGAATGTAAATTTTTTTGGTGAACTATCCCTTTAAAAGCCAACATGAAAAAGAACTGTGATAAGATTGGAAATCGTGATCCTGTCTGAAAAAAATCATGATATGACATTTTTGCCATATTGCCCACCCCTGCTTCTGTTTGTCATGGCTAACAGGTAAACCGAAATATAGCTTACGTTTATTGCTGACATGTTAATTCTGTAGATCCTTTGTGGCAGTAGGACCTTTAACTGGACTTTGTTTGAACCTCTCTTCCACAGTTTTATGGTTGTCGTTGACTCCCCCTCCATCACTGGCTCTTGGTGGGAGGCATTGTCATTCTGGTCACTCTCCTGCGCCAGCGCGTCAGTGTTTGTGCAGTGATGGAGCGCTGGATCTCCTCCTTGTCATTCATATACCACTTTATCACAGTCATTGACTGGCTGATCAGAGGGAGCTCTCCTCTGCTATTTATGAGCCTGCCACCCTGGACTCCTCCTTCCACTGACTCATTCACCTCCTCGCTGATGCCTGGGAAAGCTTCCTGCTCCCACACATATACACGCTTCTGCCCACTGGATGTGCGTTGGAGAGAAGGCTCCATCAAAACAGTGCAATCTTAGTATTATTCATATACACTATTATAGTTTTTATTAAAATTTGAAATGTTTATATATTTTTTTCATTTTTATTTATGATGTGATTTTGTCTTTTTTTTAAAATAGTACTATTTAGGTTTGATTTATTTTATTTCAGTTTTAGTTTTAGACTAGTTTTTGGTTTTTAATTGTTTCAATTTATGTTTCAGCTTCAACTTTTTTTCAGTTAGTTGCCAAGGCAACATTTCTAATTTTAGTTTAGTTTAAGTTTTCCATCGAATATATATTTTTAACATTTTATGTTAGCTTTATTTCTTTTAAAATGTTTTTGATAGTTTTAGAAAACAGTAAAAACCCTGCATTAGATAGATTACAAGATTGCCAATGGTTTTTATGTTCTTAAATAGTAATGGTTAGCACACATGCACCAAAACATTGAGTCGTGGTGCTCAAGTTCGAATCTGGCTCACAACATTTTCCCATTTCCTGTTCTCACTCTCACTGTATCTATTCATAAAAGTGGAAAAAGGACAAAAAATCTTAAAGGGATAGTCTTCTATGGAACATAGAAGTAGATATTTTGAAGAATGTTTCCTCTGTTTTTATTCACACAAGTCAGTGGGATCCAAAACAACACTGGACCCTGTTGACCTTCATTGTATGAACAAAAAACAGTATTCCAATCAAATTTTGTAAAATATCACTGGAACATGAGTAAAAAAATGATGGCAGAATTTAAATTTTTGAGTGAACTATTATAAGTCATCTTTCCTGTGTAATCAGTGTTTAATTTTACATAATATGACCAAACCTGTTATCTCTCTGTTGAAACATCGGATTTGGACATCAACGCACGTCCATATGGAATTGCCAATCTTGTGTGTGTATGCATTGCCTTACCCATGGTGGAAATGAATGTTTTTGCCCAAATGTGCCGCAGCCAGTCTAAAGCTGTGTTTCTACCAAACTGTGCCGGTCTCTGAATGTAATTTTGCAAGAGAGCTTTGCAGTGCTATTTTTTCTCATGGCTGATGGAAGGGAAAAGGAAAGGATAGGAGCAGAGGGATGGTACAGTTTCAGCCCCGAGGTACACTGGGAGCTGGGTAATTGCAAGCCCAAGCGGCTAAACAACAGACATAATGGATACAGAAAATGACAAAAACACAAGAACCGCAATGGTGCCATCAGATTGCCGTGACAACTCCAGCTATACATGCTTTGGCTGATCTTTCTGTTCTTTTCACGGAGCAAACGGGATGTGGAGATCGGACATGCGGCCGCTGCGGTTGATGGGTGTTTTGTATGTGCATGTGTACTTGTGTAATCAACAATCCCTATTGTTGTTGATTATAGTCACTGATTTTCTTTCTGAAACTTTTTGAACAATATCCAAACTAGAGTGACAGCAAACAATTAGGGACTGAAAGTCTATATCTCTGTTCTAAAACATTGCAAACTGCCTACATAAGCAGCTACCTTCTAAGGCTGCATGAAAACCTATGCTATACATAGGCAGCAACATATAGCGATCTGCACATGGAACTTGCAGTTGATTTTCAAAAAGTTTGATGTCCGTGTGTTACAAAGATAATGATGCAGTATTCAGAATCAGATACACATAAAACTACTTGGCACACACACTGTTATTAAAAGAAAAAATGTTATTGAATGAAATATATGGAAGTTTATTGTTTATATTCAAAATTTTATTGTTATCTTGGAGCTATTATTTTTGCTTACTTATAGTATAATCTGGGATTTCCTGCTCAGAGACGTCAACATCATGCCCTGAATATAACGTCTGTTTCTCTCTTGTTCTCTTCTAGGTTAGCTTTATACGTGTACGAGTACTTATTGCATGTTGGGGCCCAGAAATCAGCACAGACCTTCCTTTCCGAGGTAAGACTTTGGTTTTACACACACACACACACACACACGCACACTAGTTTCTTTAGTATGATTTTAGTACAGATTTTAGTTAGAAAACACTTGTAAATTATCATCCACCAAGCTGCCTTTTTTATAAACAGGTAATATAAATATAAATTTCTATTTATAAAAATACATAATTCTTTTCTATTGTGGTGATATGGTATCACTTACAAAAGCATGTTTCCTATCAAGCTTGTTCTTTACTGTAATGCTATAAAATCAAAATTGAATCCACTGCCACAGTAACATTTTCTGGATTTTTCTTGCTCCATATTTAAATGAGAACATTAGAATCCATTTAATTTTGTTGTTTGTGTCAGGAAATAGCTTACTTTAATGTATTCACTTTAAAGGTGGGGTAAGCGATTTCCGGTAGCCAATGTTGACATTTGAAATCACCAAAACAAACACGCCCCTACCCCAAAAGGGTCTCGCCCGTATTTTGATAGCTCCGCCCCACACATACGTACGCAACCCAGGCAACGATTAGTTCTGTGAAACAAAGCAAAACCAATGTTACACCGTTAGGGATGGGCGATATCTTATCGTTTGCGATATACCGGTAAAAATTCTCCACACGATAAGAATTCGTCTTCCCGCGATAATAACGATAAAGTCTAGTTGTTGACATATTTCTGTGTAAGACTCTGTGGAGTGACGTGAAGGAAGGCGGACGTGAAATTGAGCAGCTCCTTCTACAATCTGGAACAGGTTTGGATAGGATCCTGAAATTAATCTAAATCAAATCAAAAACAACTGCCCGTGCAGATCGTGATTAAAATGCAGTGGTTGCCTCTAGTTTCAAATGGCTAGATATTTTTGTTTAAAGCCAGTTTGTTTGTTATAAAGCAAATAGCCAATAAATAAATTTGCTTAAAAATCAGTATCAGTATCAGAATCCAATTTGCTAGTTTAAAAAAAAAAGAAAGAAAGAAAGAAAAGAAATTCTGAATCATTTCCCTAAATTATCGTCATTGATATCGTTATCGCAATAAATACCAGAAATTATCGTGATATATTTTAAAGCCCATATCGCCCATCCCTATACACCGTGTCCACGGCCTTCTGGCACAGCGCGACAAAATACTATGGAACTCATAATCATTGATGCTGTCTACAACATAGATATATATATACATATCTATGGTCTACACTGGATGCGGCGCGGCATGACACAACAACTCCCCGACAGAAAACTGCTGCTGCGTTCTATTCATGACGTACTCCACATCATGAGTAGACACGCCCCTTACTGCTGATTGGCTACAAGTTTGTTTTGCTAGTCAGCCCGAATCAGTTTTCTAAAGCGTTTTTGAAAAATCGCTTACCCCACCTTTAATGAGAACATTGACACTCTGCATCAATGTATTGAAGAATAGTTGATCTTAACTATACTGAACAGTTTGCTTTTCCCCATATTTCTACTGTCTCAGAATCTGTGCTCCAGTATGTGTGCACCAACCATGTGCAAAATTATTAATTACCTGTCATTAATTTTTAGGTAATAGCTGTTTATGATACGCCGGCCAGCAGGACTTTTAGTTGTCGTTTGTTTGTGAGCAGTCATTTCCTTCCATTGCTCTGTTACCCCAGGGTGTTTTTCCTCCCTGTTGGCTTGGCGGCATCTCTGCTGCGTTGTGGTATTGTTTTCCTGACTTTCTGCAGCACTTCTCAAAAGCACCACAAGTTGGTCAGATGTTTATCTTGCCGTTTGGTAGGCCGACGAAGTGAAATTGACTGGTAATGTGTTCTTAACCTTCAGACCTGCTTCAGTAATCCACTTTCAGCTGCAGTGAACAAACCTATCCTATCCTCTTAGATTTTATTTTTTTCTCACTACATTTTCCTGTGTAATCATCCACATATAATTGTTATAATAGGCTAATTCTTTCCTCACACTTTCCACGGTCAGTTCAGGTCCCTCTACTCACCAATTACAAAGGAGAATGTTTCTTAAATACACTGAGATTATGGCCTTAATGAGAGTCACCCTGGTCATTTCCACACAAGCAGAAATGATGGGGAGTGAAAGTGAGCCCCAAGGCCTGAATGAAGTGTAGGAAAAACAGAAGCCATGATTAATTTTGAGGGTCATGTGCTGTAGGTCTCCACATTGGTAGATTGACCAGGATGAAGCTGAGCAATGCCGCCAAGAATATGCGCTACCTTCAAATCATGTTGCAGTAGTAAATGAGGGCATGTGAAAGGCACCAACATTGTAACTACCAGTTGGAAATCTCTGGATTTTCTTTGAGCCCTGGCGTTCCAAGTCAGGTGTGTCTTACGTAAACAATCATGGTGGAATCATTGCACCATGAATTGTTTGCATTGACTTCTGCGAAACACAAAAGAAGATATTTTGAAGAATGTTTCAACTGGTTTTGTCCATATAATGTAAGTCAGTGGGGCCCAAAACAACATTGGACCCCATTAACTTTCACTATATGGAACTTTCACTTTTGTTTTCTACAGAAGAGAGAAAGTTTTGAAATGGTTGGAAATGACATAAGGGTGATAACACATGCATGGCAAATACATTGACCATTATTCTGTTATTATTCAGATCAAAATCACTTCAATGCAGTTCACATTGGAATTATAACTTTATGACTTGTACATAGGGGCTTCCCAGAAGGACTTTCTCCTCTCTGCCTGTAACATTTTAAGCTCCAGTGTCGTAGAAGGATGTGAGGAAAACAACTCTGCTGTTTTGGTGGAGAAAGCAGGATGATATATGGGCTCTGGATTGGGTCAGAGAGCAGACTGCGCAACGTCTGACAGGAAAATGTTACATTATCTACAGTCTCAAAACCCCTCTTTCTCTTTCTCATTTCTTCCCTCTCACTGCCTGTTGTAGATCCGATGGGAGAAGAACATTACGCTAGGGGAGCCTCCTGGATTCCTCCATTCATGGTGGTGGTAAGTCTCATGTGTTTTATTTATATTTTATACATACTGTCTAACTGTCTGTGTGCAAGCTAGTACTAATAAGTGTGTATTTCAAAATGGACAAATACATTTTTTTTTTATTGATGCTCTGACATCTTGTCTAATCTAGGCACAGTGCAAGTTATTTTTCAGTCCTTGCTGAAAGCTCACATGTTGCGTGAAGTTACAGAATTTACAGTTCATCTGCACATTTTTAGCAGTGCTTACTAAGGCAAGCATCACTATTACTGTTATCCAGAGATAGTTTGAGCAAACCTCAAATGTCTCGTCATGCGCCGCTCGTTATGGCTGGTTTAAGCAAAAACTTAGGATAAGATTTATGTAGGGCTGGACGATATGGCCAAAAGTTATATCACGATATATTTGTTAATTTCGGTCGATACGATATAATTCCGATATCGATATGAACACTATTTATCTGAAATAAAAATCTTTTGTAACATTATAAATGCCTTTATCATCACTTTTGATCAATTTTAAGCATCCTTGCTAAATAAAATTATTAATTTCTATAATTTCCCCAAAAATGTATAAAAATTATACTGAATGGAATAGTGTATAATGTTACAAAAGCTTTTTATTTCAGATCAATGCTGATCTTTGGATCTTTCTATTCATCAAAGAATCCTGAAAAAAAAATGTACTCAACTGTTTTAAATATTGATAATCAGCAAATCAGCATATTAGAATGATTTCTGAAGGATCATGTGACACTGATTTTTTTTTTTCAGTTTACAAAAATGTTTTTTGAAATATCGAAATATCGGAAATGTGTTTAAAAATCATATCACCGTTATTGAAAAAAATAATATCGCGATGCATATTGATATTGAATTATTGTCCAGCCCTAGATTTATGTCACTGTATCGCATTGCACCTGCAGGGCTCAACAATAAGGATTCCGCTTGTCAACTTTGTAAACTTGACAGCTAGGTACAGTTATCTAGCTTGTTGACATATGAGATTTTGTCGAATTTACATTAAGAGTGTGTTGCAAATTACCAATCAGATAGTAATGTTTTTCAATATATGTTAATGTCCAGAAAAGTGTTTTTGAACTTATTGCTGCCTTGGAGATTCCTGCGTAATTGCAAGAACTGTATTTACACCTGCTATTGCAATAAAAAAAATGCTTTTATGTGCCTTCAAATTATAATAAATTCTATTTTTAAAAATTATTTTAAAAGAAATATTTAAAAAAAAATTAAATGTAAAATTATTAATGTATGTTAATTGAATTTTTTAAATGTTTTTTTTGTGTTGTGGACAACAAAAATGTGGACAGAGCAAGTTAAAATCTGGACTGTTGGCCCAACTGAGCAAATAGAAAAAAAAACAGACAGAAAAAAAAAATACTGTTGAACCCTGACCTGGTTAACCAATACTGTGAATGATACAGTAAAACTGAAAATATCCTCACTGTTAACTCAAAAGCGACTACGACTATAAGCGAGAGTATACTGTTACAGACCATCTACAAGATTGTTTGTATTCACTTTCACTGTATTGATTTATACTAATCCAGACTTAAGTTTGGCTGTGACACCAGCCGTCAAACAGTATATTTAACCTGCTGCGGATTGACCTGTGGCAGGGGTGTATTATTGGGTCAGGCAGCATTTACGGAGGGCACGTTTGCCCGGGCCTGGCTCTCCCACCCCACTCCTTCAGACAAAAGGCCCAGATGGTGGGGCAAAGACATGGCCCATCCCTCCTCCAAACCCCTTTCATCAACCTTTGTCTCTGCTGCTGTCCTTTGTTCCTGTTAAAGATCCCAAACACAGATTAACTCTTTGCATACCGTTCCCCTTTGTGGCAAGTGTCCGAATCCCCCGCTGGCCCAATTCGGTTATATTCTTCTCCATTGATGGGGGACCAATGACAAACTGAGGGCCAGCGGGAGGCCAGGGGGTCAAGCCAGCTCAGCGGTCGGCAGTAGTCGTATAGGATAAAGGGGGATGAGTGCAGATTTGAGGAAAGAACTCGAGTCGTTAAACCTCTCCTCTGTGTGTTAGCGCCTTGTAACTCTTTGTGGTGGCACGAAGCTTCACGAATGTGCCAAGCTCGCCGACTCCCCTGTAATTGCTTCTCTAATATTGCTCTAATATAAGTTCATTCGGCGAGGATTTCCTATTTGTCATGATTTCGTTATTAGCCATAAGCCGTGCGGATGTTCAAGTACCTGAGGTCAGCGGCTGCCCCAGGGTCAGGATTATCTTTTCTCAAATGCAAATAACATACCACTGTACTCCTAATAATACACATGCAAAAGAGCTCCTCACTGTAAGGTCCATATACGTATGGATGTGGCCGTATTACCCCTGCTTTTGTCTCGTGTTGTCTTCACCATTAGGATTTGCTTAATTGCACCCAGAGAAGAGCTTGGTGTTTAAGAGAATCTATTAACATGAGAATGTAGTTCCCTCTAATTAGCATCAGAGGCACGCGTAAAGCCCGACTCATTGTAATTACGTTGTTTGACTCACAAGGAAGTGCCATGACGTAATTTGGGCAAACCTGCAGGTGGTGTTTTGAGGTTAGACCATGTGTACGAGTCAACCATAAATCATTGCTATACAGTTTATTTGGTTTTAGAAGGGCCCACCCTTTTCCCTATAGAAAATTACAGTACCGTTCAAAAATTTGCGGTTAATAAAACTTGTTTTTTAAAGAAATTATTACTTTTATTCAGCAAGGATGCATTGAATTGATCAAAAGTGACAGTAAAGACATTTATAAAGGTAGAAAAGATTCTTTTCTATTCATTCAAGAATTCTGAAAAAATGTGTCATGGTTTTCGCAAAAATATTAGGCAGTACAACCGTTTCAAACATTGATAATAATAAATGTTTCTTGAGCACCAAATCAGCATATTAGAATAAGTTGTGACACTGAAGACTGAAGTAATGGCTGCTGAAAATTCAGCTTGGTTATTAGAGGAATAGAACATTTTTTTAAATATAGAAGAAAGTACACCACCCAAGTTGTCCAAAGCATGGGTGTACTTTATATGAAATACTTCAAAGAAGATCATATGCATATCGTTTCATGTGGCCAGGTTGCTGTGTACAAGAATGCTTCAGCTTTTAAAAGCAGCGGGGAGATTGGGGTATGTTTCCCCACTGAATGCTAAAAGGGCTTTACCTGTAAATGTTAGAAATTCAGAGTCAAATAAACATTTACATTTCGCAGAACCGTCTTTTAACAGCAAGTGAGCCACCTTCAAATACTTCATAAAGTGGAAGTGCACATATGCGTGTTTAATAATTCATTTTTTAGAAAGTTTGTAAACTGTTTTTAATGTATAGATTTAGCATAATGTACAGCATACATTAACACATTAATTTGTGCAGTTTTTGTTACTACTGTAAAATCACAATAAAGTACTTTGGAATCTCCTGGACATTTTAGTTTATTGCATTTTTAATTTCATTTTTTGATATAAACAGTGGCTAAACCATCGTAATTTGCAATTATCCTGTACAATAGAAACAATACGGTATTTTGGTGGGAACTGATTTTTTTTGTAAGGGTTATTTAGTGTTTATAGTTTAACATTTAAGTGTCGTGCATTTAGAAGTATGCCATTTTGACATTTTATAATGTAGAATTACCTTAAATTGTGTAAGTCTGTGGTTACATTTTGTTATCTAGCCATTTATCTGGAGGTTTAGATGTTTCTCTCTCACTTCCTATCCCCCTTTCTCTCCCTCCATTTTCCCCTCTCTCTTTCCATGTCTGTTTCTAGTTTCCTCTTCCCATTAATGTTCCCTTCCCCCACATACAAAGGGTACCTCATTTATCCTCTCTTTCTCTCCTTTTCCTGTGTAACTCTTTCACTTGCTGTACAAGTGCTCAGGAATGTTCTTTATCCTGGTAAATGTTTGCAGAGAAAAACACAAATAGTTTCCTGCACTGGCACGAAAGCAGTCATATCAACAGGTTTCCCAATTCAGGTCTATAATATCACCAAATAGTTTTGTCTGATATAAATATATCCTTGATAAACAATGTTAACTTTCCATTTCTTGGTGAGAGCAACAGCAGGCGCATGTCGTGTGGCGGTGGTTAGTCTTTAACCTTCCAGCCGCCGGGCTTTTTTTTCCAGGAGATTTTATAGGTTATCCATTAAATCAATATCTGAAGACCTGGAGCGATCTAATTTGGGCCAGTTAAACAGGTACTTAGTTTCAGTGCAGTAATTAAATACCATTTGGACGCAAACCTTGTTCCCCCTCCAAACAGCCCTGCAGGACCCAAAGACTCTTAATTGAGGAAATCCCTGGCTTAATTGATCTGTAACTTGCTGTTTGTGCCAAGCGGGTGGGAGCGAAAGAGTGTGCGAGTCTCAAGTTTGACTGGACTTCATTTTTACCATGCTGGCTTTGCTGTGATGTAACTGTCATAACGAATAATCACGCTCAGATGAAGCAAAGCATTTTTTTTGTGTGGTAGGATGCTTGTAGTATGTGTATTCCAAAAGGTTTGACTTCATATATGTTGTATTTAATGGTCACATTCTCTCCTGTTTCCTGTTGCAGTGTATTCTGGGATTTGTACTGTGCCGCTCCAGACCGCCGTGAGACCTGCGAGCACTCCAGCGAGGCCAAGGCCTTCCACGACTATGTGAGTGACATGCAAACCTGACAGTCTTTTTGCTGAGCCTCGACTTCTCGTCCAATGGTGCTGTGCGTTGGGGGCGGGCCTTACCCTCAATCTGTTGTCCAAGTTTATTGATGTGATGGTACTTAGTGAATAACATTAGACAGATTTGCTTACCAAAGTGTCACAGGATACAAGCGCTCCATAAGGTTAAGTGAGCTGAATAGAGGGTTTTCGCGTGAATTAGTGTGTGTTAGATGCTTTATGTGTGTACATGAGTGTTTTGTTCCAGATCATGTTTCTTCCTGGTTGTCCTTTTTAAAAATGCTCACGGTATGTAATTGTGTGCATTAGAAAAACGAGTATGGGATGTTTATTTCCGTTTATTTTTCAAGGCAGTGGCTTTCATAAAGCAGCTGCGGCGTCTCGCAAACACAGATTTGCGGGGCTTCTTTAATTTGCACAGACAGACATGTAACCTGATTAACATACTGAATGCTGTGCATTCACAGATGTAATATTTCAGTAACAGTGAAAGGCATAATGAAATGTCAGTTGTTGTTGCCGGGATGCCCGCAGGCTTGAGTCAAAGCGGGAAGGATAGAAGGATGGCTCCGAACAGGTTGACTGTAAACGTCTGGTTACACATACTTTGTTAAAATGAAGGTCATATAAGGGTTGTTGACTCAGTGTTGCAATGCAATTTTTAATGCAAGTTATGATTGTCTTAGTCTAAAAAAAAGAGAGACAAGAGTGGTCTCAAAACTAAATTAAAGGAATTTATCTGTAAGATGCGAATTGTAGCCTAGATAATATGGATAGTACACATGAGTACAATTTAATTATGCAAATGAATACTTATTTTACACAATATTTTGTTCAAAATTCACTGAGAATGTTTTTTTTTTTTATTGTACATTATCCATTGAGAAAGCTTTTGGTTTCGAACTGTCAAAGGAACAGTTCAGCAAAAAATGTTAATTTACTGATGTGGAGGAGTTTGTTTCTTCATCGGAACAGTTTTGGAGAAATTTAGCATTCCATGACTTGCTCACCAATGGATCCTCTGCAGTGAATGGATGCCGTCAGATTGCGAGTTCAAACAGCTGATTAAAAACACCACAATAATCCACAAGTAATGCACATGACTCAGTTGCATGTTTGTCACAAACAAATTCATCATGAAGATGTTTTTAACTTCAAACCATTTTTTCTGGTTTATTGGTTTTATTGGCTAAAGCTATTTAATTATTAATCAGCCAATATTTGTCCATTTTCAGACTATCACTAAAATGATACAATTACTTGTAAATAACCAGTGATAGTTCTTTAATTTGTTGTGTGTTAGTGTTGTGTGTGCTTATTTTAGAAGAAAGAGCTTTATTGCCAAGTATGTTTGCACATACAAGGAATTTATTATAGTGTCACAAGCTTCCAGTACACGGAGACAACAACAACACACAGATAATAAAAATGAGATGTGAATAAAATACACATGCATAAATATAAACCACAAAAAAAGAATAAATTGTATGTACAGGTGTGCTATAGATGGAATAGGAATAGAATAAAATAAAATAAGTTGTA